TAGATCGACGTGCAGGTACAAAGCGATTTTTGCAAAGGCGGCCGAATAAATTATAACCGTGTGTATACATTTAAATATATATATATATATTATGTGTGTAATGAGTGTGCGCGTGCACTTCCGTACTATGTATATTATGCATTTTCTTTTTTACGCGCGCACATACAAAAACCGTATACTTTTAGCTTTGTGATACTCCAAGTATAAACACACGTATATATACGTGTATATTCGTATATATTTTTATTTAGGCCTACGGAAAAAGCATACGCGTGTAAAAACCGCAGTTAGTATCTCCACGGAGCGGTAACTATATACTGTACTGCACTGTCGTGCAGATGTTCTATAATTGACTTTGGAACACGTATGAAAAAATATTCCTTGCTCGGATCACTTTGATATATGAACAGCAAATATATTATGCACTTGTGTAAGCCCCACACACATACATATATATTACACACCCACATCATCCTGCATTTCATAACTTAACTTACGGATGATTGGACGATAGATTTGTGTGCAATGTTAAGACAAATATTAACAGTTGTTGTATTCATTTTAAATTAAATCTACCAAGTAGCTTCTGCCAGAAATCTTGTGTGTATATTTGCCTGCGTAAAATATTTATTATTTACCCGAAATATTATTATGGTTGAATCGTCGTGTTTATTAGCGTTGAATTATAATAGGCAAATAATAGAAGAATTTATTACGGAAATAGTCTAGGTTTGAATAGGACATATATTTGTTATTCTTCTTAATATATTATTGAGTATTATTTTTGTTAAATTTACTTAAAACCCGTGTTTTTGATTTATAATTAAACCATGTTAATTTTTTATTGTTTTAAAATTTGTTTTTATTTATTCATACTGTAATAACATTATTAAGATGTGTTTTCTTTTGCACATATTTTGCATGTTTACTTCATCAGAAGGTTATTTAACATATTGCATAAATCTTTAAACCAAATTTTAATTCTTCCTAATCAATCTTGTACCAATATGCATATAAATACTTAAGTTAACGATTGTATACTGTTGTATTAATTAATAACAAACTGATATTGCTTCTACATCAATGGCGTAGACCAGGAGGGGGGGGGTAAATGATTGGATAACTTTCCTAGTATGTAAGATGTAACAATAGTTTTAACATATACGAATAATGTTATCATCAAAAATATTCACAGTTTTGAAAAACTAAATGATAACAAATTTTATATTTTAATTTATGTTTAATGGACTTATTAAAATTAAATAGTTGGTACTTAATTAGAAGAAAGAATTGAAAATTTAATCTCCCCCCCTCAAATATATTTCTGGCTACAGCACTCTTCTATATTAATCAATTAAAAATACTATTTTAGTACTTTACTATTCAAAAGATTAAAACTTTCTTTCAAATTCGAAATACAGAAATAATGACGTACATTGAAAAATGAATAAACTATTTGTAATTATTAAAATATACGTTCTATATACTTAAATATTGATATTTATACAATGACGAGCAAAATTCAATAGATTTATTGTAAGTAATATACTACACACATTTAAGCACTAGGTACACACTATTTTCTAAGTATTTTGATATTAAAAATATCAGATATAATAAAAAACAAAAAAATATTATATTATAATCATTAGTCAATGTTAATTTAAATTAAAAGTATCAATGTTCAATACAATTTATATTTATTTATAATACTTAAATGTATATATAATCAGTTTTTTGTCAAAATGTGTTATTTTTTCAATATGAAAATTCGTCTAAAGACTAACCTATAATTAGTGATGATATCGAAATATATATCATTAAATTAAATATTAAACTAATGTTCATTACCGTATTATAAGTGTATTATGGGATTACTATAAAGCGGTAACAATAAATCCCTGATGATTAACTACAAGGAAGCTCTGAACGTATAAAAAATACGAGGTTATTTATTAAAAAAATTACATTCAAATATAAAAAAGAATTGAAATTTTAATAGATAGAAAATATAGAATGTATGTTATTATTTCCACTCTAAATTTTTATTTATTAAACAAATCAAGGTCTTATGGAGAAAAAAAAAAGATTTTTTGAATTTACATTAATATAAATAAGAAAAACCTATATAGATTTCTACTATAAGGTACTTTTTTACTATAGGACTGAATCAAATTAAAACAATTAATAAATTATATTACTACACAATCTACTTAGAAACATGTGTAAACTATTTCCTAAAATTTAATAATCATAACTATACCTATTAATTAAATAACTAATACATTTTCTATCTAAATGTAAATAAAATGTGGTGTAATGTGGTTTAAGTTAAAGTATATCATTAAATGTACCAGTGTGTATAGTGATCAAACAAATGACGAAAAATAAATAAAATGTGAAAAGCAATGTGAGCCATAAAAGTTACATACAATAATATATGTATTCTAATCGTGATTATTTCGAAAATTTAACCTTTAATTATCTACACATAACAAGCGATGAATATTTCAATATAACACTCTACAGTATATATTATCAATCTAAACATTATTTGCGGATAATCATATATACATAGGTGAAAATACAATCAAAACCTTATTACTGTAGCTTGAATGTTGAAATTGCACATGTAGAAATGAGTAAGGCGCGATTCAAATTAAATAATATTCAACCTGATAACAAATCAAATTCGGTTGCAAAATCAATTACGAATGCGTCTAAATACATTCACAATTCAGCCAGTACTTGGTTAAGCAGTAACAATGTGCAATTAATATGTACATTGTACACACCCGATGGGTTCGTCTATTTGCATGATTCCGAATCGAATGCGATAAAACACTAATAAGAACTAATACTAATATATAGACTAATATAGAGACTAATATATAAACACTAATACATACCTACATCTATGTGTTCTTATATGTAGTGTCATTGCAGTGTAAGTTATTGAAAGCAGAAAAGCGAAAGTTGTTATGGAAAACTACAATAATATAGAATATAGAATATATAATTAATTTTATAGAAATAGCAATTTGATGTTTTCTACATAAGCTTGAGGTTTTAAAGTATTACATTACTAGCATAGTATTCTGTGTAAGCATCATAATTAATTTGTATTGTTATGAAAAAAATTGACTATGAATACGAAAAACACGATAATGCATATAAATTAAAAGTATCTAATATATTATGTATCTTCATTAAATTAAAAAACGTGAGAATAATAAATACCAATAATTTTTCTACGTATTAATTGTGATTAAAATAAAAATAATAATTAAAAAAACTTTGCATTGTTAAGTATTGTTTCTTTGTAATTTCTAACTAAATCATTTGATATAATACTTAAACGGTACGACTATATAACTAATATAACTAAATAAGCAAAATACAGGTGTGTGTGTGTTTGTGTGTGTGTGTGTGTGTGTGTGTGTGTGTGTGTGTGTGTGTGTGT